CGGGGGGGGGGGGGGCTGCCCGCTCGCCCCCCCCCGAGCTGGTGGCACCCCGCCCCGGGCGCGCCCCCCGAGAGAGCCCGCAACGGAGTTCCACCGGCTCCGGGGGTGGGGGGCTTTTAGGGACGGAGGTCTGTGGTCAAGTCGGGCCTGGCCTGTCCCCCTACAGGGGGGCCTTCGACGAAGAACAGAAGATACCCCGAACACAATTTTAAGGATTGTCCAGAAATAGTATGGGGACTATTTTTTTGAGTATGTTTGACCTTTTGGTGCATGTTTGGAGTATTTGTTAGGTTTCGTCGAAGATCCCCCTGTAGGGGGGCAGGCCCGACATCAGTCTCCGGAGTGCTGGTGGTGGTGGCTCCGTTAGCTCTCACGCGTCGGGGACGTCTGCTCGCGTGCTCCGCTCTCGGCCTCACAGCGACCACTTGCGGAAACCAGCCCCTGCGGGTCCACTCGGCGCAGGGGTATCCGACACCCCCGCTGGGATCATCGGGGGTCCCCAAAACGGGGTGGTGACCACACCGTGCGGTGAGTCGGTGGGGATTCGGGGTGGGTCACCGCACGGTTCTGGGACTCGAGTCCCTCTCCGAGGACGTCTCGGGCGACGGGGGCCTCCGGGGTCCCAGGACGGTGCGGTGACGGACCGTGCGGTGAGGTCTTGGGGGGTTTCGAGGTCACCGCACGGTCCGTCCCCGCACCGTTTTGGGACTCCCAAGATCAGCTTGGCTGCAGGCAACATTCAAATCCTGACCCCCTGCCGTTCGGCTTAGGCAACTGCTGCAGCCGTCCACTGATTCAGAAATTTGACGCGCGGGGCTTTCCACGTCGGAGGATGCACCGTATCGCCGATGCATCGGCGATGCGATGCGGTGCGATCTGGAGCTTGATCTTCTCAACCCCGGCGTCGCTCGTGCATCCCCGATCCATCGGTGATGTGGTTCGGCATTCCGACCCAATCTGCCTGTGAAGCGTAAGACTCGTGGGCGCCAGAACTCGGGCTTGCCGACGCTCTTCGACGAGCTCATCCAAGGTTCTGACGGTGCAGTTCGCTTGGGGTGCGTGCAGCGGCAGCTCGCGTCACATTCCAGACTGGGCCGCGTCGTTTTCTGACGGCCCCGCCAGGTTCACCCGAGTCCCCCGAATCTGGGTTTCAGGTGTAGGTCGGGCATGCCCTTCTACAGGGCAAAAATCCAGAACTAGTGTGTAAAGCATGGTCTGGGGAAGATTGATCGACCATTGTTGAGCACTGCTGCGCATTTCTTCGCTATTTGTCATGCGGTTTCGAGCATCCGCCTGTAGGAGGACATGCCCGACCTAAGTTTGTGTTTCTTTGATGCTCCGCCGGCCTCGTCGAGCAGAGCTCGCACCGGGCAGGGCCCGCTGTCGCGGCTGCCCCCCCTGCCCGGTCTGGCCCGGGCGCCCCCCCCTCCTCCTTCTCCTCCTCCTCCTCCTCCTCCTCCTTCTCCTCCTCCTCACCTCCCTCCTCCCTCCTCCATCCACCTCCCCTGCTCCTCCTCCTCCTCCTCCTCCTCCACCCTCCTCCTCCACCTCCTCTACTCCTCAACCTCGTCCTCCCTCAGTCCTCTCCTTCCCCTCCTCTACCTCCTCCTCCCTGAAGACTCCCCTCCTCCTCCTCATACCTCCTTCTCCTCCTCCCTCCTCCTCCTCCTCCACCTCCTCCTCCCTCTTCCTCCTCTTCCTCCTACCTCACCTCCCTCTCTCCTCTCCCCCTCCACCTCCTCAGGTTCTCCTCCCCCTCTCCTCCTGAACCTCCTCCTCCTCCTCCTCCTCCTCCTCCTCCTCCTCCTCCTCCTCCTCCTGAACCTCCCTCCTCCTCCTCCTTGCCCGTCCCCTCTCTTCCTCCTGCTGCGTCTCTCCGCGATCCGAGAGGATCTTCATGTTCTGATCTGTGCGTGCAGGCCTCTCGACCCTGCATCACACTTAGGGAGTCCCCATCTAAGTGTGGGGAAGGGGCTCCCGATACGTTTGACATCGAAGGGGTGCATTGAGCCTCCCTGACCGCCCTGCGGCCAAGCGGACCTGTTGACACTGGGATCGAGGCCATATGCAGATTGCCAGCCAGCCAGGCTCCTCCTCCTCCTTCTCCTCCTCCCTCTTCCTCCTCTTTTCCTCAACCTCGTCCTCCTCAGGTCCTCCTCCTCCTCCTCCTCCTGAACCTCCTCCTCCTTCTCCTCCCCCTCCTCCTCCTACCTCCGCCTCCTCCTCCTCCTCCCTCCCCTCCTCCTCCTTCCTCCTCTCCTCCTGAAACTCCTCCTCCCCTCCCTCAGCCTCCTCCTCCTCCTCCTCCCCTCCTCCTCCTCCCAACCTCCCTCCTCCTCCTCCCTCCTCCCTCCCTCCTCCTCCTCTCTCCCCTCCTCCTCCTCCTCCTCCTGAGCCTCCTCTCACTCATCCTTCTCCTCAAAACCTCGTCTCCTCTCAGTTCTCCTCCTCCTCCTCCTCCTCCTCCTCCTCCTCTCCTCAACCTCCTCCCCTCACTCCCCTCCTCCTCCCTCGCTCCTCCTCCTCCTCCTCCTCCTGAGGCCTCCTCCCTTCCCTTCTCCTCACCTCCCCCCCGGTTTCCCCCCCCCCCTCCCCCCCCTCAGTTCTCGCCCTCCTCCTTCTCCTTCTCCTCCTCCTCCTCCTCCTCCTCCTCCTCCTCCCTCCTCCTCCTCCTGAGCCTCCTCACTCCTCCTTCTCCTCAACATCGTCATCTCAGGTCTCCTCCCTCCTCCTCCTCCCCTCCTCCTCAACCTCCCTCCTCCTCCTCCTCCTCCTCCTCCTCCTCCTCCTCCTCCTGAGCCTCCTCCCTTCCCTTCTCCTCAACCTCGTCCTCCTCAGGTTCTCCTCCTCCTCCTTCTCCTTCTCCTCCTCCTCCTCCTCCTCCTCCTCCTCCTCCTCCTCCTCCTTTTCCCCCTCCACACGAGGCGTGCCTGGAGCTCGCGCGGTGCGGGCCGGAGGTGCGCGGGCGGCCCGTGCGGCTGCGGCTGAGCGGTGGGCCGCACGGCAGCCGGGAGGAGGTTTCGGAGGAGGCAAGGGCACAGCCGTGCCGAGGCACAGGATTCCAGGCGTAAGTCGGGCGTGTCTCTCTGCAGGAGGAATTGTCAGAAGTGGCCAGAAAATAGTCTGGAGACGATTTGTCGATCACTTTTCCAGTATTTCAGAGCACTTCGGGGTATTTTATAGCGTTCGTCCAAAAAATCCGCCTCTAGGGGGACATGCCCGACCTAATTCTAGGCCTCCTGGATGGGGTCCGAGTAGACGGGGTCGGAGGACCACGCCGCATCGGCGATGCATCGACGAAGCGGCTCGATGTGGAGCCCCTGTTTCTCCACGCCGATGGCGCCGACGTATCGCCGGCGTCGGCGATGCATCGCCGGCGCATCGCCGATACATCGTCGATGCATCGCCGATGTATCGGCGATGCGGCGCCATCCTCCAACCCCATACTCGGACCCCAACTAGGAGGCCTCTAAAGATCGAGGTCGGTTCGGGGAGGGTACCCTAGCTCGAAGAAGAAATAACTCCATACACATCAACTTTTGGCGCTCCGCGCGGATTTCTTGGATCCGCGCCAGGCCCCCCCCGGCGTGCTCTGCGCGCTCCGCGCGCCAGGAAGTGGGGTCTAGCGTAGATCCAAGAAATCCGCTTGGAGCGCCACACGTTTATGTTCATGGTTCGGCATTATTCTAATGATATTCGTGTTTGTTGGATGTTCTTGTGCTTCCCGGGGAGGGTACTCTTGGATGTTCTGTGTTGTCTTGGCCTACGGAGGGTCTTATGGTCTTGAGAGGTGTTCTTCTGGCCGAGGTCCGACTGTGCCCATACCGCTACGCTTCCCTCGCTTTCACATTTTTGGGCCTCCTCGGAGGCCCTCGTCGCCACCGCTGGATTCGCCTCGAGGTCCCGGTCAGAGCGCACCCTAGAAGAGGTCTGCGGAGCAGCGATGAAGGGGACCTGTCAGTGTCCCTCACAGGTGTCTCTGGGGAACGTGAAGGAGGCGCTGTTGCACCTGCGGCGCCTCGCGCAGGACAGCCGTCGGCAGCAGGCCGTTGGGGCCTGGTGTACCCTCGCAGATTCCGTCTTCGGATCGGGGAAGCGTAAGACTCGAGTAAGCCGGAACTCGGGTTTGCCGACGTTTTTTGACGAGCGCGCCCTGGATTTTGACGGTCCAGTTGTCGTTGAATGTTTGCAGCGGGAGCTCGCGTCAGATTTCAGATTGGGCTTTGTCATTTTTACGATGGCCTCGTCAGGCCAACCCGAGTCCCCCGTACCCGAGTCTTGCGTCTCCCCGATCGGAGTGCACTGGCATCGGCTGGCCTCTGGCAACAGATGGGATCAGCAGCGCCGAGTTGGCGTCGCCCAGCGTTGACGAGCGTCGACGATCGCGTCAACGTGGCGTCGATTCGCAGGAGCCAGGAAGATGGTACACCTTAGGCGATGCTTAAGAAAACCCAAGTTTTCGGCCAGAGTCTCGATCATTCTTAATTTTTCAATGTAAATCTCAAGATTTTGATAGAAGTTCTGGGTTTTATTCAAGTTCTGAGACTATGAATTTCTTAACCCATGATTTCTAAAGCATTTCGCATGGTGTACTGGAGGCTCCCGTGAGTCGCCGCAGAAGCGTCCGCCGCTGTGATCCGACCGCTGCTGCTTCTCGAAGGCGCCTGCGGCGAGTCGCCGCCGCCCCCTGCCTCTTTTGGACGCGCCTGCGTGGCTTGGGAAACCCCCAAACCGCCAGCTGCGGATCGTGCCGAATCGTAGGCGCACCGGTTCCGGGGATGTTTCTGTGTGCCGGCCACGCCTGCGGGGGACCCCGCGGGCGGGCGGAGGCGCTCTCCCCTGGCGTGAGAACGCAGCGCCTCACCGCGCTGCCCTCCGCTTGCCGGGCAACGCTTCTTGTCAGTTGGGAACCCCCAAACCGGGTGGTGAGATACCAGGTGGCGACCTGGAATCCCCAAAAAGGTCGCCGCTGGGTTTGGGGACGCGGGGTCACCGCCGGGTTCTGTGGCTCCTGGACCCACCAGCGTTCGGGACATCCTCGGAAAACCGCACGAGTCCCCAAACCGGGTGGTGACACCAAATCGCCCGAGACTCACCGCCAGGTGTTGTCACCACCACGTTTGGGGACTACCAAGTGGCCGAGAGTTGGGTTTGAGCCTGGCCAAGCTGTCGGGCCACGCGTTTCCCGAGCGGGTTTCGAAAGCTTTCGGGGAACACGGCGTCGGGCGAGCTATCGGACCAGGTGGCCTCTCCCAGCTGTCGGGCCTTCCTGGAGGAGGTCTTGGAGGGCTCTTGGGCCGTCTTGGAGGCCTCTTGCGGGCCTTTTGGGCAGTCTAAGGCCATCTTGAGGCCCTCTGGTGCTGTCATGGGCAGATCTTGGGGCCATCGTCGCTGTCTTGGAGGCCGTCTTGGAGGCCATCTTCGGCGTTTTCGGGGCCATCTTGGGCCGTCTTGGGCTCTTCTTGGGGCCCTCTTGTGGGCCCCTTGGGCTGTCATGGGCAATTTTGGAAGCCTCTTGGGCGCTCTGGGGACGATGTTGGAGTCCTCTTGGGCCGTCTTGGGCCGTCGGAGATCTTATAAGAAGAACATGCCCAAATCGTTCAAACACCTAAGGGCAATCAATGATGGTTGCCCTTTCGGGCCTTCCTTTTGGGTCTTGGAGGCCTCTTGGGGGCCTCTTGGCCAGTCTTAGGCCATCTTGGAGCCTTCTTAGGCCATCTTGGAGGCTTCTTGGACGAACTTGAAGGCATCTTGGACTCTTCTCGGGCAGTCTTGGAAGCCATCTTGGACCATCGTTGGCGACTTGGAGGCCATCTTGTTCCATCTTGGAGGCCATCTTGGGCCAACGTGACCATCTTAAAGGTCATCTTGAGCCGTCTTGGAGAATGTTTTGTGGACGTTGGGGTGGTTTATGCTGCCTTGTGCGGCCTTTCGGGTGGCCAGCGGGACGGGCCGAAGCCCCAGCGGGAGTTCTTTTCTGGAAAAAGAACCAAAACCAAAAGCGAAACGGTTCAGCACACCAGGCACCCCTTTGATGAATCAACAGGGGGCGGCGGATCAAAGACGCCTACGACGAATCTCCGCCGCCCCCTTGCCCTTGTGGAAGTACCTGTGTGGCCGACAGCTGGGCTACAGCTTGGCCTGGCTATCGGGCCAGTTGTTCCCCGAGTTGGTTTGGAAAGCCTTCGGGGAACGAATGGGGGAGCAAGAGGTTTGAAATCGCCCATGTGTCCGAGCGCTGTGGCAAGAGCTCTGCGAAGATATCGGACCATGTGTTCCCCCAACCGTTTCGGAAACGCTTCGGGGAACCCTTGGGGTTGGATGGCGGGGAAACGTCGGGAGGAGGAGGGTGAGGAGAAGGATGAACAGGAGAAGGAGGAGCAGAAGGAGGAGGAGAGGAGGAGAGGAGGGAGAGTAGGAGGAGGAGGAGGAAGAGGAGGAGGAGGAGGAGGAGGAGAAGAGGGATGAGGGAGGAGGGAAGAGGGAGGAGGGAGGAGGAGAAGGAGGAGGAGGAGAAGGAGGAGGCATCTCGGAAGCCTCTGGGAGCTCTCTTGGGGCCTCCAATGAGCTTCCAGGGAGCCTCTTGGATGCATTTCGGGGGCCTCTGTGGGACTGTTGGGGGCGTTTGGCCGCTGCTCGGGGGGTGTTTCTGGCAGTCTCAGAGCATTCCAGGCACGTCCGATTTCGTCGGAAGCCGTCTTGGGAGCCTCTTGGGCCTCTCTGGGGCCGTCCTGGAGAACCCCTTGAGCGATCGTTCGGGGCTCTTGGGCCGTCTCGGGCCGTCGGAAGGCCGAAAAATCATTTCCCGCCACCGTGCCTGGGTTGTGGGCATGAAGCCTATTGGATGTTCGTTGGGGTCTCGTGGGAGGTCTCTCGGGGGCCTCTTGGAGGCAGTTTGGATGCCTCTTGGAGGCCTCTTGGGGGCCCTTTTGGGAGCCCTTTTGGGGCCTCCTGGGGGTCTCTTGGGCCTCTCGGGAGCCTCTTGGGAGCAGCTTTGGGGCCTCCTGGGAGCCGGTGTTGGGCATCTTTTGGGCCTCTCGGGGGCCTCCTGGAGCCTCCTCTGGGCCTCTTGGGGACTCCTGGGCGCCTACTGGGGCCTCCTGGGGGCCTCTTGGAGGGGAAGGTTCGGATCTTCGGTTCGTGTTTCCTCTCTTGGGTCGTTGTAAGAGACGTCTTGGGGCCCTCTTGGGCCGTTTTGGGGACGTCTTGGCGGCTTCTTGGGCCGTCTTGGTGCGGTCTTGGAGGCACGTTGGCCGTCGTGGCGCGTCGGGACGCCGAAATGGCGAGAATGCCAAACACCTCCAAACACTCAAGGGAAACCAATGATTTGGGACTCGTGGGGCCTTCTTCGGAGGCCTCATGGGGCCTCTTGGGAGCCTCTTTGGCCGTCTTGGGGCCATCTTGCGCGTCTTGGCGCCATCGGCGACTCGGGGCCCCCTTGGACCGTCTTGGGGGGCCTCTTGAGGCTCTCTTGGCCCGTCTTGGGGCCCTCTTGGGGCCGCACAGGTAGCGCGACAAGATGCGGGGGAGCGCAGGGGACACGCGGGAAGCCCCAAGAGGTTTCGGACATTCGGGACCGAGCCCCGCATCGATTCGTCAGTCCTGCGCGCGGAGGCCCGGTGGGCTGGGCGACCGGAGGGCGCGCTCCTTCCGTGCCCACAGGCACGGTGGCGGCTCTCTGCGGCGTCGAGGCATCCCAGCCCTGTTCTCGCCGATGAACGGTCCAGGCGACTCGAGGGGCGGCGCGGGCAGGGCTCGGAGAATTCGTCGACCGCGTCGCGAGATCCGAGCCCTCGTCCCCGCCCCCCCACCGACCCAAGAGGAGAGATGGCTTCAGAGCGTGAATTACCTACCCCGCTTTCGCTTCCAGGAAAAACCAAGTCAGACCACGCGCCTCCTCGTCAAGCGACCTCACCAGTACAGGCCGTAGCTTGGCATCGCTCGGTATCTCTTGGAAGCGAGGGTGGTCAAAAGCGAGGTAGGTTTGTTTTCCCCCTATGGCTGGCGGGGCGGCAGGATGCGGATGTCGCCACCCACCTCTCTGGCCGCTCGCAGTCCGAGGTGCTCCGGCGGGAGACGGGCCCCGAGGGCAGCGGGCGGCCACGGAGCTCCGGACGGGAAGCGGCCCCGGATGTTGGCGGGTCCGTGGCGCAGGGCGTGGCCACGAAGGGAGCGAGCCCCGAGGGGAAGCAGGTCCCGAGGGTGTGCTGCCGCTTCCGGGCCACTGGGGGCCCTCCCGGGGGGCCTGGGAGGCGGGACGAGGAAGAGGGCTCCTCCTCGCTCCTCCTCCTCCTCGCTCCTCGCTCCTCCTCCTCGCTCTCTCCTCCTCCATCCTCCTTCTCCTCCCTCCTCTTCCTCCTCCTTCTCCTCCTCGCTCCTCCCTTCCTCCTCCTCCCTCCCTCCTCGCTCCTCCTTCCTCCTCCTCCCCCTCCTCCTCCTCCTCCTCCTCCTCCTCCTCCTCCTCCTCCTCCTCCATTCCCCCCCCCCAACCCCCCTGGGGGCTGTCAGAGATCGACGGGTGCAGCCTCCAGACCTACGGCGTGCGCATCGACCCCGCGGGGGCGAGAGGCGCGCGCTCCGAGAGCCCGAGGTGTGGGAGCTCCGGCGCGGGCGCTGCCTGGCCATGCCGCGCTCGAGCAGCCACCTGCTACGATGTGAGGCGTGCCAAGGGCTTGGCGTCGCTCGGACGTGTGCATTTTTTTCCTGCGGCGAGGACCACCGAGGAGCACCCTTGATCACTTGGCGAAAAAGCCACGCGCGGAACACCGAGAAAAAAGCACAGGGAGTGGACGTCCGAGCGATGGCGAGAGGAGGGCCTGGCCTTCGAGGGTCAAGGGAGTGGTCCTCTCTTCCGCGGCGGAAGGGCGGCGGAAGTAGAACGAGAAGCCGCCTCCGCCGGCGGAAGCTCGTCGGAAGGCGGCGGAAGTACAGTCGAAAACCCGAATAAGGACGCGCGACTTTGCTCAGGGTGCCCTTGCGTCATTGCTCTTCCTTGCTCTTGCGTCCTGGGGGTTTTCGTCGTCCGCCGCCCCAAACATCCCAACTTCGGCTCCCAAGGGTCTTGCGTCCTTACCGCGCGTCCTTATTAGGGCTCGTGACTGTAAAACATGCGCCCCCAAGAGGCGAACATGATTTTTGGCTCGAGGTTTCCGAAACCGCCCATGTGCCGCCGTCCATGTCGCTCGCGTCACAGAGGGCTCTGTGCAGGCGGACCGAGGTAGACGATCGAGGTCGGTTCGGGGAGGGTGCCCTCGTGTTCTTCGTGCGTGTGTGTGTGTGGTGTGGTGTGGTGTGGTGTGGTGTGGTGTGGTGTGGTGTGGTGTGGTGTGGTGTGGTGTGGTGTGGTGTGGTGTGGTGTGGTGTGGTGTGGTGTGGTGTGGTGTGGTGTGTGCGTCTGTGTTGGATGTCCCTGTACACGGTGGGGAGGGTTACCCTTGAATGTCCTGTGTTCTTCTTGCTGGCGAAGGCCCTCAAGTTCTTGGAGGGATCTTCTGCTGGCCCGGGTCGGACCGTACGTGTCGCCTGCCGTGTCGTTCGCGTCCCCAGGGCTCTCTGTACTGCAGCGGCGGCCGTGGCCAACGCGGGGCCGCATCGGCCCCGTCGGGCTCCACCGGGCGCCCTCTTCCGGGGGGGGGGCTCCCGAGAGGGGCTTCCGGAGGGCGCCCGGAGTGCCCTTCCGTGTGGCGCCGTTGTTCGCCGCCCGCTCCCGGCAGGGCTGTGGGGCCTCGGGGCCCGTGCTTCGGAGGCGCCCTGCTCGCGGAGCAGGCAGGGCCCCTCCGCCCACGGCGTTTGCAGTCCCCCCTCTCTCTCTCATGTCTTGAGGAGGAGGAGGAGGAGGAGGAGGAGGAGGAGGAGGAGGAGGAGGAGGAGGAGGAGGAGGAGGAGGAGGAGGGGGAGGGGGAGGGGGGGGGTGGGAGGAGAGGAGGAGGAGGAGGAGGAGGAGGAGGAGGTCCAGTGCAGACCCAAGAGTTCTCAACGAGGTTGGAATACACCCCCCTTTCGGCTTCCTCTTCATAGGCCCCTGCAGCGATCTCATTTCCACTGAGGGAACTGCCTCGCTGGAAGGCAGCCGTTTGAAGACCCCGAAGCATGCCGAAACATTGTCCTCGGGGCTCTGACGCCATGGATCAACCTGACAGTTGCGCCTTGACGATCCCGAATCATGCCAGACTGCCATTCCTTGGAATCCAACGCCGCGCACCAACGTTGATTTTACACCCGCACAATCCTGAGTCCTTCCCAAACACCACGTTGGGGTATTATGATCATGGGAATCCGCGAAACTCTTGCAACTCGTATACACGAATGCGCGCGGTGCTGAGGCGAGAATGAACTCTTGCAAGTGTTTAAAACGAATGTGCGTGGCGCTGAGGCGAGAGCCATACTTTGAAAATAAACCATTCTCAATCCGCGAAACCCTGCAATTGTTTAAAACGAATGTGCGCGGCGCTGAGGCGAGAGCCACATTTTGAAGACGGGTCGCCCTCAATCCGCGAAGCTCTTGCCACTGCTCAATACGAATGTGCGCGGCGCTAAAGCGAGAGCCACATTTTGAAAACGAGCCGCCCTCCACCTGCGAAACCGTTGCCATTTTTCAAGCTTCCGAGCCATTCGTGGCGAGGAAGTCGCGGGCGGAACGCCCGGGCCGCCCGAAAGATTGGCCCCGGGGTGCGACAGGGAGAAGTTATGTTTATGAGGAACGGGAATGCAGTCCCCCCCCTTTCCTGTCCTGGCTCACGCCTCCTTCCCAGCCTCCGTTCCCTGGGGCGCTGCGAGCGGCGCGACCCGTCGACAGCGTCGGGCGGCTCCTGCGAGAGCGGTCCCGGGAGGCTTCGGAGAGCCCGTCTCGGCCCAGGACCCGGCGGACGGCTACGGGGGGGCAATGCAACGTGGAGGGGCCCAGGATTACGGGGAAGTGGTCCTGGAGGGCCCAAATAGGAGGGAGGAGGGAGCAGGGAGGAGGGAGGAGGGAGGAGGGGAAGGATGAGGAGGAGGAGGAGGAGGAGGAGGAGGAGGAGGAGGAGGAGGAGGAGGAGGAGGAGGGGCCCCTCAAGTGCCCAGGACAGGCTGCTGTGGAGCGTGCGGTCTCGTGCAGGGAGAGGGGCACGAGGCGGGGGGCTGCCCAGGGCTCGCGCGGCAGAACGCATGCTCCCAAATGGCCCTGCCGCCGCAGGCCCAGAGGCTGCACGAAGGGCGTACGTTCCTCCAGCCCACGGCCAGTGCGCCCCCGTCAACGGCACCCCGACGGGACCCCCGACTCCCTCGGGGCCCCCCCTTCCCTTCCTGGCGAGAGGACGGCGGCGGCCGCACGCCGCTGGAGGCCAACTCTGAGCCGGAGGCCCCGCCCCCGTTCCGGTTCGAGGACAGGGCGAAGATACCCGAGGAGTTGGTGGCCGGGCCGTTCGAGAAGTTCTCGATCACGGAGGATGCGGGGGCGTCCAAATTGGCGTGAGGACCAGTGTGTGTGTGTGTGTTGTGTCATTGTGGCTGTGTGTGTGTCTCTGTGTGTCTGTGTGTCTGTGTGCCTGTGTACCTGTGTGTCTGTGCGTCTGTGTGTCTGCGTGCCTGTTTGTGAATGCGTTTGTGTGTGAATGCGTGTGTGTGGCGTGTCGTGTTGTATTGTGTTATGTTGAGTTGAGCTGAGTTGTGTTGTGGTGAGTTGTGTTGTGTTGTGTTGTCTTGCGTTGTGGGTTTTGTGTGTTGTGTGTTGTGTGTGTGAGATGTGTGCGTGTGTGTGTGGTGTGTTGTGTTGTGTTGTGTTGTTTCGTGGTGCGTTGTGGTGTGTTGTGATGTGTTGTGTTGTGTTGTGTTGTATTGTGTGTTGTGTGTTGTGTGTTGTCTTTGTGGGTGTTGTGTGTAATGTGCGTGTGAGCGTGTGTTGTGTGTGCTGTGTGTGTGTGTCCGTGTGTCTCTGTGTGTGCGTCTGCGCGTGTGTGCGTGTGCGCGTGTGCGCAAGTGCGCGTGTGCGCACGTGCGCGTGCGCGCGTGTGCGCGTGTGCGCAAGTGCGCGTGCGCGTGTGTGCGCGTGTGCGCGTGTGCGCGTGTGTGCGTGTGCGCAAGTGCGCAAGTGCGCAAGTGCGCGTGTTCGCGTGCGCGATAGTGCGCGTGTGCGCGTATGCGCGTTTGCGCGTTGCGCGTGTGCGCGTGTGCGCGTGTGCGCGTGTGCGCGTGTGAACGTGTGCGCGTGTGCACGTGTGTGCGTGTGCACGTGTGCGCGTGCGTGTGTGCGTGTGTGCTTGTGTGCGTGTGTGCGTGTGTGTGCGTGTGTGTGTGTGTGCTTGTGTGCTTGCGTGCGTGCGTGCGTGCGTGCGTTCGTGCGTCCGTGCGTGCGTGCGTGCGTGCGTGTGTGGATATCTGCGCCACTGCGTTCCCAGTGCGCCTTCGCACGTTCACTGCCGACTCACACCATCTCTCTCGCAGCGCCTTCCCCCACCCTGCGGATCTTCCTTCCCCGCTCGTCACCCCCTCACGGCCAGCCCCCACCGCGAGTCGGGCAGCGCGGTCCCCTAAGGGGAGCATCCGGCATGCCCCTGCTGCGCCTGAGCTGGCCTGCGTCCGCGCCCACTCCCGAGCTTTAGCCCGACTCCGCTGCCCACCTGCGTGCGTGGCCGCGACGCCAATACATGGATATTTATATATATACACATATATATAATTGTGTGTATGTATAGTATGTATATATATAGATGCATATATATACACACTTTTGTATATAGTTATACATGTATAAAAGATAGATACATGTGCATGTATGTGTGCGGTGTGTGTGTGTTTGTGTGGATACCCTGGCCAGGAACATGCAATCTCCCAGATGTCATGCCCCTCTTCGTCCTCCGATGCGTTTCCTGGCCTGTCCCCTCATCCGCGCACATGACTCAGGCCATGATGCGTTGACCCCCTCTTCCCAGCCTTTCTCTTCGGCTCACGCGGAGGACGTGTATTCCACTGCGTATTTGGTCGCCAGGAACGCCACCGAGGACATGTACAGCATCTGGCCCTGGAAGAATCCCCAGGTACGCATCGTGTGGTTCTACCTCTTTTTCATCGTCGGCTCCCAGCTCTTCGTGATGACGGTCATCACGCTGTGCTACCCGACCATGGTGGACAAGGAAGTCCTATACGTGGACTGCGCCAACGCCACTTCCGTGGCATCGCTCGTGGAGAGGGGTGCGGTCGAAGACGTGGGGGCCGAGGCTTGCCGGGAGGCGGGCAAGCTCGCGTTTTGGGCTGATCTGCACGGCAAGCCGGTGGCTTACCACGTCATTGAGGTGGATATACCTTTCTTCGACGCGGTGTTGACTGAGGGCAGCGCTATCGTGTACATGTTGAGATTCATCTGCTGCTCGTGGGTGTTCTCCCAGATGTATTTCCAGCATTTTGAGAGCGTTCGGTCCCTGATCGCCTATCACGACTTCAGCCGGTGGTTTATCCCGCTGAAGGGCATGGAGGTGCGGAACAATTGGGCGATCGGCATCGCCTTCGTGCAGTACGGGGTGATTCTGGTCGTGACGACGGTGTCATTCGTGATCGTGTTCGCCCAGAAGGACCCGTTCGACATAGTCATGAACTCGCTGGCAGCCAGCGGCGAGCAAAAGGGGCCCTGGTCATAGGGCCAGCGCGGACAACAGGGGTCGAAGTCTGCTGCGTGCAGCTGGTTTCGGCCCCACCAGTGGGCGCCTGTCCCCGATACACCACCCACTAAACCACCCCAACCCAACCTGATGGCCTCCATTTGACCTGCATTCGAAGCGGGGGAGGGCGTCGGGGAACATTGAACAAGCACTTGTGGAACCCGTAGCCCCCCCCAACCCGAAACTATGTTTAAATATTTGTTGACTGTTTTTTCCTTCAAAGTCTGTCTGTAGGGGGACATGCCCGACCTAAGATTAGCTGCATGCAGCTGCTCGCTACAACCCCCCCCCCTGTGCTGCCCTCCCTCACGTCCGCCCAGAGGTGGACTAGGGGGTGTCAATGTGTTGCCAGGGGCTTTGGCATACCTCGGACGTGGGCATTGTTTCTTCGGCGAGGACCATCGAGGAGCATCCTTCGAAGAATCCAGAATCCCATAAGCATAAACTTTTTTGGCGCTCATCGCGGGTTTCTCGGATCCGCGCTGGGACCTCCTTGACGGCGCCTCCGGCGTCGCCCTTCGCGCGCTCTGCGCGCCAGGGAGGGGGGCCCAACGCAGATTCAAGAAATCCACGCGGACCGTCGAAAGTTTATGTGTATGCAAAACAGGCACTGGATCATGTGTATGTAGAAAATTTACGTGTATGTGTATGTGTATGTGTATGTGTATGTGTAAGTTTGTGTGTATGTGGATCGTGTGTTTGGGTGTACGTCGAAAGTTTATGTGTATGTGAAGTCTTCTACGGCCTGGATCATGCAGCAAAACCGGCACTCACGAAACCGACAGGTGCACTGGGAATGGGACGACCGAGCGATGGCAAGGGGACTGCCCTGACCCCAAGGAGGCCCCACCGTCTCCCGGCAGGCCCCGACGACCTCCAGAGCAACCTCATCAGGCCCACAGGGCTCCACGAGCTCCAAAATGGCACAAGAGATTGGGGGCACCTTGGGCCAGGACAGGTCCTCCAAGGGAGGGAACAGAGCGCCGATACCAATACATGACGTTCAGTAAGCAGTCCTGGTCTTGCGACGGAACGGTCCGACATCCCCGCTTGATCCGGCTCCCTCCCCCCAAGTGCGTTTACTAGAGGACCTCCGCTTGTATGTGGTACTTGTTATCAAGGGTGCGTAGTCTGCCTTCTTCCTCTGGCAAAGCTCTCAGAGGCTAGCTCTCAGTCTGCTCTTCAATTGTACCGATTTGCGAGCGAGGCCCAAAGCCTTCAGACTTGTTCAACGTTTTCAGTGATTCTGGTTGTATCGCCTTCAAGCGTCCGATGGGCCCTGAAGGCTACAATCCGACCCCAAGATCGCCGACGAGGTGCTCCAGAAGGGCTCAGGAAGGGTGCACGACTGGCTCAGAGACTCCTCACGAGGATCTCCATAGAGCCCCAAGAGGGTCCCAAGAGCGTCACGCCAACGCTCGGAATCGCGAAAAGACCAACAGGACCACCCGCATTTGACGCCACGCTGGACCCAAGAGGGGCGCCTCGCACTCCAGGACAGCCGCAGAAAGCTCCCAACGGGCCCAAGCACAGCCCAAACGTGGCTCCAAGAGCACCCGAAAAGAGCTTCGAGAAGAATCCCAAGAGGTCCCCGCCACTCCTCGGAGCGGAGGCTCCGCCCGATGCAGTGGAGGCCGATGCCAAGAAACACCCTGCTTGCCTCCAGGGTGCCATGGTCTTGTTGGGTTTCGATGGCTTTGCTGTGGACGGCGTGACGTTCCGTTGATTTGCCGACGGTTCGCCCACCAGATGTCCGAGGACGTCCTGGCGTCGAGGGTGCGTCGATGGCTCCGACACCAGGAATCCATGGACGTCCTGGGGTCGCAGGGTTGGGTTTCTTGTGGAAGGTCTCTTCTGGGCTGACCTCCACTGTGAGCATTTTTATATGTGATCGTTTTGTTATTCATTGTCTTGCCAATCGGCGCGGGCCCTCGCACCACCCTCCCATGGAGTAGATCTTGGCTGTTGTTGACGCCTGTCTCGAGCAGATGAGGTCTCCCCACTTGGGACGCGCGGTTGCAAGCAGTCGCACTAAGCAGAGGTCCAGAGCCAGACCGTCCCCCCCTCCCCTCCCCCCCCTCTGCGCTCAGTGCCGAAACGCCGAACAAGAAAACGCTCACGTGAACAGAACCTCACACGACCGTGAGGCCCCGTCTCCCTCCTGGGCCCGTCTCCCTCCTCCTCCCCCTCCTCCCCCTCCTCCTCCCCCTCCTCTTCCCCCTCCTCCTCTTCCTCCCTCCTCCTCCTCCTCCTCGCACCCAAGATGCTCCAAGAGGCCTCGGCGAGAATGCCAAAACGGCCTCGGCGAGGAAGCCAACATCGCTGGTTTTACCAAGGTTTTTGCCCCATTTTGGCCTCCTGGGGGGCGACGCTAATTCATGTTCCCGTCTTGTTTGATCGATCTCCTCCAAGATGGCCCCAAGAAGCCCCCAGGAGGCCGGCCCTCGGGCCACGGGGGGAGCGAGGCGCCGCGACTCCAGGTTTTTCAGGGGGGGGCGGGGGGGGGGGTCGGGGGCCCGCAAACGGGGCGGCGATCACACCGTGGGGTGCGTCGGCGGGGATTCGGGGTCGCCGCACGGTGTGGGCACTCGGGGGTCCCTCTCCGAGGACGTCTCGGGTCCCGAAACCGTGCGGTGACGGACGCTGCGGTGAGGCCCTGGGGGATTTCGATGTCACCGCGTTGTCCGTCACCGCGCCGTTTCGGGATTTCACCGGGGGGGGGGCGGAGCCCCTCCTCGGAGGAACGACTTCACCACTCACCAAACCACCCTCGGGCGATCGCAGACATGGATCAAGGGGGCGTGGATGAGCGTTAAATCGGGCCTGCCCCCCTACAGGGGGATTTTCGACGGAAAATGCAAAATACCCCAAAAATCGTCAAAACATAGTCCAAACATGGTCTGGGGAATTTTTTTTTGAGTATGTTCTGACCTTTTGGGGGCATTTTGTTTTAATGTTCCGTCGAAAATCCCCCTGTAGGGAGACACGCCCGACATAGGATGAGCGACGGGTCCCGCTTCCAGGGGGGAGCCGGGGACTTCCGCCGCCGGGCAAGGCGGGCACCGGCCCGCACTGTTGCGCGCCATGCTTGCGCGCCCCCAAGGGGGGGGGAGCCCCTTCTCGGAGGGGCGACATCAGCACTCACCAAACCACCCTAACCCAACCCGAAGGCCTCACTTTGCCCTCCATTTCCAGTGGGGGGGGGGGTCGGGGAGCATTGAAAAAAACACATGGGAGCCGTACCCCCCCCCTACCCGAAATTCGGGTCAAATTCGGGTCGTCGTGTTGGATTGGGTAGTCTGGTAGGTAGTCACGAATGGGGTCGGAAGGCAGATGGTCATCCTCCACCCCCAGGTAAAACGAAGAAAAACAACAATACCCCTCGCATCTCTTTGTCCACGGGGTTGAACGTGGTTCCATTGAAACAGCAGGCGGAGAGGCCAGACTTTCTTATCCCCTCCGAAGTTCATATCGTAGTTATGAGAGTGAGGATGTCTCAGGCGAAACGAGATCCAGACATCCGAACATCGATATCTCCAGGAAAAAATGTTAACTCCCGCCTGGACCCGGACTTTATTATCCCCAGTGGGTTATTCTCACCAGCATACGGTTATCCTAAGCGCCTACGACAAGAGGGTTGGTGGTTGTCAAAGCCATGCCGACCTTCATTCACCCTTCTCCTTCCTCCCTCTTCTAGCGCTCGTTGCTCTTGGCGCTTCGCGTGGTCCGCCGCCCTCTTGTTCCTGTGACTCAGGGCTCGGTCGCAGGTCGCCAGGGAGGGTGGCGGTCGTATCAAGAATAGCCCCCTTCTTTCTCTAGGCGAGAGCCTTCAGCGAGACGGCGCGCAGGCTGCTGCAATACCGAGTCCGACCGATCTCCATCTGCCTTTTCCCCTGTCCCCTTCTGCTCATCGCATCAGGCATTCACTTTCATCGCCGAGGTGGGTAGCTACTTCAACGCCCCCCTGGTGAAGCGCCTGGGGGCCACGCGCATCGAGGGCCTTCCCGAGGACTCCGTCGCTGTAGTCTTCTTCGCCGTCGTTCGTCGCGATCGTCGCCGGATGGTGGGTGAGTGGACGGTGGCAGAACGAGCAGTTGCCACCCCGGGGGGAGGACGCAGAACTAAGAGGAGGGAAGAGGGAAGTTGGGATCCTGATATCGCGTGGACGTGTGCATGTCCTCCTCAGCGAGGACCGTCGAGAAGCATCTTGGATCACCCTGCGAACAAATGGACCTGGCGTAATCTCAATTGCGGAACAGTTTCCTCATGCATGGGCGCAGTGCTTGGTATAGTTTGGCATTGCTTGGTATATCTTGGCGTTGCTTGGCATTGCTTGGCATTGCTTGGCATTGGTTATTATTGCTTCGCATGGTTTCGCATTGCATTGCTTTGCTTGGCATTGTTGCTTCGCATTGCTTGGCATTGCTTGGCATGAGGCAACGGGGGCGGGGAGCCCGGGGAACCTCTGGGGAACGGCCAACCTAAGAATACAAGGCACCGGGGGCGGGGAACCCGGAGAACCTTCTAGCAACGAGCAATTTAACAATAGGAGGCACTGGGGGCGGGGAACCCAGGGAATTTCCGAGTAACTAACGGGCAACGTAACATTAGTAGGCACTAACCTTTAACCAAGCAGGAACCCCTTAGGCAAGCCTACTTGGGAAATGCACGCACAAAATCGAAACATGCACGGGCAATGGACATCCGAGCGATGGCGAGGGATGGGAATATAAGGGGGAGGCGGAGGGAGGGAGTGTTGCGGGCCAAAACGGATCACGACGCCCTACGGTTTCGTACCGTGGGAGCGGGGTCGCTTCGGGCCGTCCCCGAGCCAAAACTAATTTTTCGCACGCCTTGGCAGCCCAGCTGCCACTGCCTGCGTTCTGTTCTCGCACGAGTTGATTCCAGCACTGAAGCTGAATGTGGCTCGCTCGAGACTGGTCTTGGGCTCCAGCTTTGCCCCCGCCTATCGCACGAGGTTTGTCCAGAGCTCTCGACGAATTTGGGCTCTAGCTTCACACCCCGCTTCTCGCAAGAGGCTGGCCACAGAGCTCCCCCTGCCATTTCGCGCCGAAGCCATCGAGGTGCACCGATCCACTGCCCCGACTGTTTGCCCCAGCACTGCTCGCACGCGCAGTGCCAAGCAGCTAGCTATATGTCATCGGGCTCTATCTTCAACTCCCTCTTCTCGTAACTGCGCGCCCCCTTTCTCGCATGGACTGCTCCCAGCGTTGTAGGTGATCGTTGCACGCCCGCACGTTTTGCTCGCCTTTCCCTCGCTCCCAGCACTGTAGCTGATCACGTCGGGCTCCTCCTTCGCCTCCCACGTCCCGCAGTTTCTCACAGCGCCAGCGTCCATTGCCACTGCGTGCCCCACTGCCTGCCTTCGCGGACGAGCTGATCTCAGACCTGTACCTGAGGTCGTCCGCGCCTGCCCTGCACTTCCGCTTTCTCCCAGTGCCAGTTGCTGCCATTGCGTGCCATTCTCGCAGTGCCAGCGCCTGCGACCACTGCCTGCCCTCGTGCACGAGCTGGTATCAGAATTGTAACTGAGGACGTTCGCTCCCGCACTGGCGCATGCTGCCGCCCTTCTCGCACGAGCCGCTCCCAGCGTTGTAGCCGATCTTGGTTGGCTCCTGCTCTTCGCACATGGGTTGATCCCATAATCGTAGCTGAGGATGTCCGCCGCTGCACTGTCGCCTCTCGCATGTCAGCAGCGTGCTGCCACTGCGTGCCCTTCTCGCGTTGCCAGCGCCTGCTGCCACTGCCTGTCTTCGGCACGAGCTGATCCCAGAAAGGCTGCTGAGTGGATCTGCTCCTGTACTGCCGCCTGCTGCCCCCTCGGGGTGCACCGGTCCACTGCCCCGAGTTGTGTACTGCTCGCTTGCCCCGCACGCGCCGATTTCAACGCTGCAGCTGAGGCCGTCGGGCTCCAGCTCTGTCTCCTTCTCTCGGAAACTTGCCAAAGCCTGCTTCCACTGCCCGCCCTTCTCGCACGCTCTGGTTGCGGCGCTGTGGTTGAGGGCGCCCTGTTTGCTCTTCTCGCACGCGCTGATGGCAACCGTGTAGCTGAGCGCGTTAGCCTCCAGCTTTGCTTCCGTGCCCCGGAGCCCCGCCAGGGCCTGCTGCCACTGCCTGCCTTTCTCTCATGCGCTGCTTGCCGCGCTGTAGGTGAGGACGTCGGGCTGTGCTTCGTTGTCGCACGTGCTGGTCCCATCGCTGTAGCTGATGACCAACTCGCTCGACCTGACTCCAGCAACGTTGACGCCGCTGAGGCCGATCCCAGCTTTGTAATTGACTTGCGTCTCGGCAACAGCGCCGCTGCGGGTGGCGCTATTGCTCGCCAGGGGGTGGAGGAGAGGAAGGAGGAAGGGGAAGGCGAGGGGCCCAGGGAGGCGGACTCCGCACCTGGCACGGAGCGCATGCCCGTCACCGCATTGTAGCTTATGACGTTGGGCACTCACCTCTCTTGATGCCGACCTCTTGACGTCGACAGGGCGGCTCGCAACCGCAACGCCACCCGCGCGCGCCCCCGCAGGCCAGGGCGGCTCGGACGCGAAATGGCTGGCGGAGGGAGGGAGGGAGGGGGAACGAGAGGGGGAGGATGAGGGATGACGGGGGTTGGATCTCATGCGGGTGGCGGGAGGAAGGTGACAGCAGGCTGTGCTGTGTTTCCTTGTAGGTTAACCAGCGCCCATTCCCCATGGAGTGTTTGCCCAGGGGGGCCCTTCTCTTGGCATCGCTCCGACGTGCGCTCTTTCCCTGGCAAGGACAATCGAGCAGCATGCTTGTTCAACTTGCGAAAAATACACGCACGAAACCCAAAAATGAATAGTGAATGGACGTCCGATCGATGGCGAGTTCTCCTCCTCTGCAGGAGTGCCGCTGGGTTGCTCGGGGTTTCCACGGACGGCTGGCAGCCACTGGGTGGTTTTGCCCCCCGTTTTCCCCCAGGGTCCTAGTGGGTTGTTCCGTGGTTCCGCGGGCGTCCTCGGCTGTTTTGCAGTATACAAGCGCTGCGATTCCTTAACTTGCATTTGCCTTCTTTGTGTCGCATTTCTTTAAATTGAGTCGTCATTCGTTGCGGCATGTTCGTTGCATTGAATGGTACCCTTTGCTTTGCGCTGCTTCGCCATATCGTGCATCAAGGTGCATGGAATCGCCCTCCCCCAATGATTTTGCATTAATTCGCATGCGTTGATGTGTATCGCACTGCACTGTGTTACATTGCTGAAAGTTGCGATGCGTTGAACGACACTGCTTGTTTTGCATCGCTTCGCTTTGTTTTGAGTTGGCTTTGCTTCGGTGGATCGCTTTGCGTTGTGCTGCCTGGAAGTGATTGGCTTCGTTTATGGTATGGGTCGCACCAATGACTTAACAAGGACGACGACCCGTAACTGGAGTAGCGCACGGTTCGTTGTGGGGAGGAGGCGAATGAGTAAGAGGGGCAGTTGGAGTAAGAAGAGGATTAGCAGTAGTACGTGCAGCATGGTGTGTAACCGTAGCTGTAACGGTATGAGCACTTGTTGTAATACCAGCATAAAGCGAAGTTCATTTGGATAGTGATGCATCGTTTGCAATGTCATCGTGACCATCCAGCTGAATGATGAGGCGCATGGTGCATGGGTAGCCTTGGGGAAGAGGGGATGGGTAGCCTGAAGGGAAGCATGAGAAGGATGAGGAGGGCGTGCAGGGTGAGCGGGAGGGCGGTGAATAGACAAGGGTGCAGTTGGGGTGAAGGATGGGGACGATGGCAGATGATGGAGTGGCAGGAGGCAGAAGGGGGAAGGGCATGCCCCAGGACTACGGCGAAATCAACTACCTCTACCCCGAGTACTCCGAGTCGAATGCGCTCCGGGATGACGGCACGTACACCGACGAGGGTTGGTACATCCTGGAGATTTGGTGCTGTCGGTGCTGATGCGCCTGCTCCTCCTCCTGTTATGGGAGGTGCCCGGTACCAATGTATAGGCATGCCTCCTCCCGAACCTGTTGTTCCCCCTGTGATCGTCGTCCTCCTCGTAGTTCCTCATCTTCCTCCGCGTCCGTCCTGTGGATGCTGCTATCAGGGGGGGCCTTCCCCACCGCCCCCTTCGCTGCGGTATCCGTTCACTCTGTCGTAACGCCACTGCATTGTACGGCTGCGGAAGCTGGGTGATGACAGCTGCGCGGGATTCCAGGTTGAAGGCCGCTCAAATGATCCTGCGTGATCTGCTGCCGCCGTCTTTCATTCTCCTGCCGCCCGCGTCTGCGCCCCGCCGGCGCGGGCGCGGACGTCCCCGCAGAATCGCGCCGCCTCGGCCGGGGCGTTCGTCGCGCGGCCCCGGAGCTGCGCGCGCGAGCGTGAAGTCGGGCGTGTCCCCCTACAGGAGGAATGTTCAACAATACTAAAGAATGTAGTCTGGGGATGATTAAAAACCAATTATTTTGAGTATTCGTGAGCATTGTTTGGGTATATTTCATTTTTTCCTCCAGAATGCGCGCGCGCGGGCGAGACGGGCGGCGCGGCGCAGGAAGTCGAGGGCGCGCGCCCCTGCGCCGCCGTCGCGTCTCTCTCACCGAGCGCGCTCCACTGCCCGCAGAGAAAACCATGAAATGGTCAAGAAATATTCAAGCAAAAGTCTGGGGACGATTGTTTGCTTATTTGTTTGGCATTTTTGGCGCACGTTTTCCTTACAGTGCCGTTTTTAATGCATGCTCCGCGTGCGGATCATGTATTACAAATGCAGGGATTTAGTGTTGAAAACAACGATGAGTTCATGCATAAATGAATGTATTCGTAAAGTTATCATGAGTTCATGCATAAATGTATTCATAAATTCATCATGTATTAAAATCAAATATTTCAAACAATCCTATGTGTTAAAAAATTGCCCTGTATTTTTCAGTTTTCGCCCAACATCCGCCTGTAGGGGGACATGCCCGACCTCGCGCGAGTGGCGAGGAGGCGCCCCGGGCGGCCGCGGCCGCCCCGGCAGGCGGAGCCGCGACCGCCCCGCCAGGGCTCGTTCCGATCCCTCCGCTTTCGATTCGCTCCGATGTCGACGGCCTCGGGTTCCGATTCGACTCTCGACCTGGGCTTCCCATCTTAGGGGAGCAAAAAGTGACGTAAACATAAAAACTCGGAGGTCCGCGCGGATTGCTCGGATCGGCGCTGGACCCCCCTCCCTGGCGCGCGGAGCGCGCCAGGGGCAGCGCCGGAGGCGCCGCCGTGGGGCCCCAGCGCCGATCGGAGCAATCCGCGCGGACCTCCGAGTTTTTATGTTTATGCCACTTGTTGTTTACCTAGATCTGGGCTCCGAGCTCGTGTTGGAGGCTTGCCAGCCTGCCGAGTTCCGCCGAGTCGGCTCTTCCCGACCCGGCTGCCGAGTTTTCCACCAATCCGATGCATGTCGATCGCCGATCCGACAGACGAGCCCACGACCTCCCGGCTCGAAGCCTTGAGTCGGGCGCGTCTCTTTTACAAGTGGAGCATTCAGGCATAATTAAACAAATAGTCTGGGGACGATGTTTCGGTTCTCTATCGAGCATCCTTTTTTTCGTCCAGGATCCGCCTGTTGGGGGACATGCCCGACCTGATCGAAACCCGGCCCCCGTCCAGGAGAAGATCCTGGGGGGTGCGCGGCCGCCCTGCGCCCCGCGGCTGCTAAGTTGTTGCCGAGGGCGCGCGGGCTCTTTGCTTTCGGCGCCGCCTCCGCGAGCGTTCGACCTCGGCGCTGCCGGGGGGGACCTGCAGCTCGCGATGGAGAAGGGGTGGGGTTACGAGGATCGAGCATTTGACTGCGGTGCGGTGTGCGCTCGTGGACTTTATTCGGGCCTCCTCCCGGCGACGGTGGGGTCCGTGGGGCCCTTCGTCTGCCGCGCACGCGCGCCCATGTCATCAGCGTCGCCCTCGCCCGGTCCGGGGGGATTCGGGGCGAGAGTCGGCGTCGTCGAGGCACGCAGCCGGGGTGATGTCCTACACGCCTTCTCCGCGCTCGATTGCCTCGCTTTGTTTTCGAACCCTGCAGGGTCATGCAGGGCCGCCCCCGATGCTTCGGTCGTGGGCGTGCGGCTCGCAGTTGCGGCCGTGGGTTGTTCCGTCAAAGGATCGGCTTTCGGGTGGTGTTCGTTCGCGACGGAAGGGACGGGAAGATGCGGGCACCGCGAAAGACTGAGGGCGCAGCGCTGCAGAGCACGTTTCCCAGGAGTGCGTTCGCGATTCTGACGGGCGCAGGGAGCCACAATTGAACAGTCGGGCGGAGGGGGAGGAGGCGGGCACAGAAGAGGGAGGAATCGGGCCATCGTCCATCTCGACTCGTTGCCAGGCCGGGGCCGCGGGGCCGACCGATTTGCGTGGGTGTTTCCGACGGAGGCTTTACCTTGTCAGTCGGAGACGTGCTCGTGCCATGCCCTTGTGGCTTTCAAGTTTGTCTTACATGTCTGTTCTTCTTTGGCTCCGTTGCGTGATTCGGTTTTGCCAGAGAGTAGACTACGCATGCTTGGTGAAGCCAAGGCCTCCTTCACAGATGGTGCTTGTTCGCCAGGAACGGTGAATTCATGTCAACGCGGTCGCCGCTACTCTACGCGCAGTGCAGCAGGTCGTTCTGAGGCTTCCTGGAGGAAGTCGAGAGAAACTGTGCTGGGTGTAAGGAGAAAGAGAATACGGGATCGAGAAGGAAGCAACGGAGGAACGCGACAATGAGACAGGACTGCGTTTTTGCTAGACACACCTTGGGCACATCGGTTCTTTCGCCCGCGCGGTGGTGGGAATTTTCGCCCGCGCGAAGCCATTTAAAGTTGCGCGAGCTTAATTGGAGAGGCCTGACGGCCGGTGCCGCCGACCCTGATCGAAAGGGCAAGGAGTGGGGGGAGGAAGCGGAGGACGAGGAGGAGGAGGAGGAGGAGAAGGAGGAGGAGCAGGAGGAGGAGGAGGATGATGAGGAGGAGGAGGAGGCTTAATTGTGGCAGGAGCAGCCGGCCGTTGCTTCACGTTGGCGCGAAGCGCTCCGTAGGGACCGCTGCCCGCGCCCGAGGCTGCGGGTTTGCAGGGTCTCGGGACACATGGAAGCGGCTGCTGCTCGAAACGGGGCCCCCGTCGGAGCGGCGCTATAGGGATGAGGGCGTTCCAAGACGGCACGTCCTTCCGTGCGAAGTCGTCGACGTGGGGGAGGGGGGGGCGCTGGATGCACGGGCGCGCTGCAGCGTCGTTGACGCAATCTGGTTCCTTCGCCTGCTCCCGTGTTCCAGGTCCTGAGATGTATGACCCCCCCTTCTTCCTCAAGAATCCAACCCGTTGTTCGCAACCCAGAAACCCCAATGCATCCTCCCTCCTTCAAGCTCCGCCCTCCTCCCCCCCATCCTCGTGGTTCGTCCCCTTTCTCCCCATCCCCTCCCCTCCATTTTCCCTCTGTTCCTCTCCCCCCTACCGCCCCCATCGTCCCCCCCCCTGAGGAAGAGGAGAGCAAAGCTGGGCTCCTGTCCGACTACGAGGTGAAGCATAACCCCGACGCCTACCCGCGCTCGGAGCCCGCGCCCCGGGGGATGGCGACGAGGCCGACGACGAGGCCGACGAGAAGGCCGACGACGACGACGACGACGACGGCGGCGGCGACGACGACGACGACGGCGACGGCGAAGACGACGGCGACGGCGTTCGCGACCGCGACCGCGACCGCGCCCGCGACCGCGACCGCGGCGGCGGCCGACGGGGCCGACGGCGACGAGGCTGACGGCGACAGCGGTGCAGATGAGGAGGGAAAGGGGAAGTCTGGGCAACACTTTGTTGTGCTTGTTCTGCATGTGTTGCGCGAAGTAGGGGCCTCCAGATACACCTGGACATGCACTAACACGGGAAAAGGCGAGGCGGGGAAGGATGCTGGTGCAGTGGGACGATGGAGGGGGGAGGACGGAGGAAATTTGGGGATGAATGGCGGGCGGAGGGGGGCGAGGACGAGGATGTGGACGAAGGGGAGGCAGGAGGATGGCAATGACGACGACGACCACGGTCGAGGAGGACAGATGATTTGAGGAGGATAATGAGGAGGAGGACAGACGATTTGATTGAGGTCGGAACCTCTGGTGAAGTGCTTCTACACTCGAACGGATCGATGTGGGTCCGTGGAGGAGGAGGAGGAGGAGGAGGAGGAGGAGGAGGAGGAGGAGGAGGAGGAGGAGGAGGAGGGGAGGGGGGGGGGAGAGGGGAGAGGAGGAGAGGAGGAGGAGGAGGCGGAGGAGGAGGAGGAGGGGAGGAGGAGGAGCAGAAGGAGGCGGAGGAGGAGGAGGAGGAGGAGGCGGAGGAGAGAGGATCGGGGTCTCGAATCGGGAGGAGCGCGTGGCGCTGGAGCGAGGGAAGGACCCCTTGCCTCGGCCTTGCCGGAGAGGAGCGGCTCACGTTGGCCATGCACCGGCGCCCAGCCAGCTCCAGCCCCGCCGATCGGGGGACCCTTGCTCGCAACGCGTGTGGGAAGTCACTCTTGAGGTCCTTCGCCGTTCTGGGGCACCGGGAGCCTGAGAGCCAGTCCCTTGGAGCGGGAACAGGATCAGGACGACAAGTTGGCCGTGGGGAAGAGGTTGGGACTTCCGCGGGCACGGTATTACAAGTACTGTGCTTCAGGCGATCCCCAGCAAGTAGCTGTTGCACATGGTATCAATGTCTGCCATGTGCGACCCGATAGTGTGATATGTTACACCCGTGCTGACGCATGTGTGTTGCGCATGTGATGCATATGATCTGTATGTGCGCATGCTGTATGTGATGAATGTGGCCATTCGCTACATGGGACGTGTCAGCATGCTTCGATGGTGATTGGTCGTGCAACATACCGTATTTGTTTCCGGTGTGCGTCCGATGTGGTGGTGTTATTCGTGTAGGTGATGGTGTATGTTGCTGAATTGTTGGTGGTGTTGGTGTGGTGTGATTGTGCCTGTTGCGTTCCCGTGTTATTATACATATGGTTGATGCCCATTGCTGGTTTCAATTTGCTCGTGCAACTAGGTTCCATCTAGCGCCCCGGCCATGATCGAACGACGAGCCGTCCAGATCTGAAGCCCGATCGGACCTCCCATCGCGCTCCTTCTCCCTCTCCCCGCGCCTCCTCCTCCTTCTCCTCCTCCTGTCCCTCCCTCCCCTCCTCCTCCTCCTCATGCCCCTCCATCTTCTTTCCCGTTCTCGTCCTCGTCGTCGTCCTCCTCCTCCTCCTCCTCCTCTTCCCCATCCTCCTCCCCCACACCCTTCGCATCCTCCCACTCCTCCTCCTCCTCCTCCTCCTCCTCCTCCTCCTTCTCCTTCTCCTTCTCCTCCTCCTCCTCTCCGTCCTCTTCCCCCTCCCTGTTCGAGCCCCGCGTCCTCGCCTCTCTGTCCTCAGTTCTAGTATTCCTCCTGCTTCTCCCAAGCCCCCACCTCGTGGACGTGTTCCTCGCCCCCGTCTCCCAGGTGGGAGGTGGAGGTGCAGAGGAGGAGGGAGGCCACCCCTCTCCCCGATCCGCCTCGCCCGATTCTCCTCCTCTTCCTCCTCCCCGCCCCCTCCCCCCCATTCTTTCCCCCCTACTCCTCACGCTCCTCCTCCGCCTTCCCGCCCCCCCCCCCTCCTTGCCCGACCACTCGCATCTCCTCCTCCTCCTCCTCCTCCTCCTCCTCCTCCTCCTCCTCGCCCCCTCCCCCCCCGCCTCCGCCTCCTCCCCCCCTCCCCCCCCCCCTGGCCGCTCGGAGGTGCCCGGGGGGGTCTCTGGGGCTCCTTGGCGCCTGGAGGCCCCCGGGGGCCCTGGCAATGGTCAAACAGCTAACGAAACCATCCTCTCCCTCCCTCCCACCCTCTACATCGTTATCCCCCCCTTCCATCCCATCCTCTCTTATCAACAACTCGCCCATGCTGCGCCTCTGGTCGTGTCCGCGGGCTGGCGGGGGGGGGGGATTCTCCCTGACAGAGTCTCACCCCGAACCTGAAGCGCATTTCACAGCAGTTACGCGGGTGCAGAGCCGCCGGTGTTCCATTGATGGTTATTACCTCTTATGGAGCCGCGCAGATTCGTTTGAAACGCTCCCAACAGTTCGACGGGTCCAGGGCCAGCTGTTCTGAAGTCTTAACAGTGCACGCGCTTCTCTCAAAGCTCACGGGGCGAGGCTCTCGCCGGAGATTTCCGTAGGGAGTCGACGGCAAGTCTGAGCATTCACAGCAGTTGCTCGGACGTACTCAGGGCAATTTCTCTCTCGCTTGAAATTGCTCTTGGTTTTACGACGCAGCAGTGCTGTAACCAGCTGTGCGACAGCTGGGCGCTTTTTTTTTACAAGCGCAAAGGGAGCCCAGTGGCGAGGAGGGGAAGCAGGGGGGGGAGGGAGGGAGGGGCGGGGCAGGGGGGACAGCCACCGCACCTAATCAACTCGGTGCCTCCGGCGCGCCTGCGCGCGCGGCCTGGCGGGCGCGCAAGGCCGCGCGCCATGCGCCCTCGTCGCCTCCGGCACGCGCCGGCGGCAGCAGGAGCAGCGCGCCCACGCGCGGCGGCAGGGCGGGGGCCCAGCCCGCGCACGGGCGTGCCGCCAAGGCGCCCCACCGCGGCGCCGTGCAGCCGCACTGCAGGCAGGCGACCCAGCCAGGCCCCTGCGAGGCGGCGTGGGCCCGCCAGGACCGCCCGCCGAATAGCGCCTGGGCGGCCTCCGCTGCGGGCTGCGGCTTGGGGTGCCGCAGGGGCTGCGGGGCCCGCGGCGCTGCCGGCTGCGGCGGCCCGCCGCCGGCGGCCGCCGCGCGCCGCCGCCCTGCCGAGCGCCGGACTGTCGTCCAGCGGCGCCGCACCCGAGGCCCGCCCGGCGCGGTGCAGTCGTGGTTGGCCTTGAGGGCCGCCAGCTCGACCGCCGCCAGAGCCCGCTGGACCCCCTCCAGCGCCTGCAGCTGCCGCTCCCGCTGCTGGAGCAGTGCCGGGGCGGGCAGCCGCGCCCGCGCTGCCGCCCCAGCTAGCCTGTCGGCCGCCGCGTTGCCGGCGTGGTCCTCGTGGGGGAGCCCCCTCCCCAGCGCCTCCGCCTCGTCCAAGTGGCCCTTGACCCAGCGGGCCCTCAGCCAGTCGGCCCGGCAGTAAGGGGCCAGCCGGTCCCAGAGGTCGGCGTGCGACCACTCCATAGGCGTTGCCCCGCCCCGGAGCGCCGCCACGCCGTTGCTCACGTACTTCGAGTCCGTGACCACCTCCACCGGCCCACCAGCCAGCCCCAGCGCGTGCAAGGCAGCCGAGAGTTCGGCGCGCTGAGCCGTCTGCTCGCCATCGACAGGGCCCCCGCGCCCCAGCGTGCCAGCAGGGTGCTCCACGCGCGCCCCCCAGCCCGCCCTAGCCAGCAGGGGGTCGGCCGGGTTTTACGACGCAGCAGTGCTGTAACCAGCTGTGCGACAGCTGGGCGCACGCAAGGGGGATCCTTTTCGATGCAGGGTGGTCGCTGGGCATTTCCTGGAATCCTGCAGCCCCACACTGGCGCAGCCCCCCCAAGGCTCAAAGGACGGACGGCGGACCCCCTCGAACCCGATCTCCCGCGCGCACAAGCGGGCGCACAGGGGCGGCTCGCCCTTCGAGGGGGGCCCTTGTCGAGCCTTGAGAGCGAGTGCTTGTATGGACGGATGCTTGTATGAGAGTGTATGTTTTGTTTTACCCTCTGGGCCATACCGCGCGTTATGCCCCCTCCCCTCCCCCCTCCCCTCCCCCCCATGACGTAACGCTCCCCCCCTATCAGTGCGTCCCCGGCACTGCCGCAGTGCGTCCGGCACCACGGGCTTGGGGGGGGGGCGGGGGGGGGGCGTTACGTTACGCCCCCTTCTGGCCCCCCCCCTCTCTCCCCCATGTCGCCCACTATGGCCGCGAATGAGAGATGCGTTCTTGTATGGACTCCTGCGATCGCGCAGCTTGTCCGTGCGCGCTCCGAGGGGTGCGCTGGCGCCTGCTTGGCCGAAGGGTGCCGTCGGCAGAGGTTCGCCGGCTCTCCGATGCCCGACGACGGTTTTCACTGGGCGGGGCTCATCCTCTCTCCTCATCCTCTGTCCTTCTCCTCTTCCCTCTCTCCTCCTCGCCCCTCCTCCTCCTCCTCCTCCTCCTCCTCTTTCTCCCCTCCTCTCCTCCTCCTCCTCTCTCCTCCTCCTCCTCCTCCTCCTCCTCCTCCTCCTCCTCCTCCTCCTTTCCTCCTATGAGGTCCTGGGCCCTGGTCCTGGTGCCAGCGCTCGTGACGCTGCTGGTGGCCGCGCGGGCGCGCGGCGGCCTGCGCGCGTGGCTGGGCGACGCCTTCCCCGGGGGCGCCGCGGCGGAGCTGTGAGCCTTCGCCCCGGGCCAGTCGAGAGGACACCTTGCAGCTGCTGCGCCGCCCGCCCACTGGCATCTGGCTACTTGGGCCGAAGCCCGCGTAAACATCGCAAGAGTGACCTTGACGATCAAACTGGACGGGAACTGGAGTAGTTTTCAATTAGCAAGCATCGCACCTCCGCTAAGCATCACTGATAGTGCTATTGCCCCGATGTGCCTGTTTCCACCGCCACCGTAAGTTGGATGGGGAGGAGGAGGAGGAGGACGAGGAGGAGGAGGACGAAGAGGAGGAGGAGGAGGTGGAGGAGGAGGAGGAGGAGAAGGTGGCCGCGTCGCACGACTCTTCGGCCGACATATATATATATATATGTAGATAAAGAGAGAGAACACACAAAAGAGAGAGAGAGAGAGATAGAGACAGAGAGAGAGGAAGGAGGAGGACGAGGAGGAGGAGGTGGAAGAGGAGGAGGAGGTGGAGGAGGACCCCCCTCCAACTCATTGTGGTGGTGGTGGTGGAAAACACGCCCATCACCCCATGTATTCGGAGCGTCCCAAGAAGGGCTTCGCTTTCGAGGATAGGAGGAGTTGTCATGTCTTCCTCGGCGGCGGAAGGGCGGCTTCCGCCAACGAGTGGGCGGGCCGAAGGCGGCGGAAACAAACATCGACCTTTTAGTTGTGGCGCGTCACTTCACGAGGGGCGATACATGGGGGGGAGAATGGTGCCCTCTTCGGGCCCGAAGGGGTCCCTGTGGGGCCCTGCCCTACACGGCCCACTTTTCTGCAGCGCTCACTGCCCCCCCCCCCCCCACGTATCACCCCTCCATTCTTGGCGGCCCAAGTTTGGGCCAGCAAGTGGTCACCATTAATTCGCCGGGGCTCGAGGGACGGGGGTCAACGCAAACGGGGGTCAGCCATCGCGCCAGATTTCGCAGGGCTTTCCAGGCCCAGTGTCGCACTGACCCAGGCTTGGGTGCAGGATCCTGCAGGACCTTGCAGGAACCTGCAATGCCTAACAAACCTGGGTCTGGATTGCCCCAGGGCAGTGGATCCCCGAATTTTGGGCGCGGGGTGGTCTTGCGGAGGCCTTCTGGTGCTCGAGCCACAGCCCGGCGGTGTTCATTTTTTCTCCACACTGTCCCAATCCGTGTTGTGTTGGGCACTGTGCTTTCCATTCGCCCTCCTTCTCCTCCTTTTCTTCCTCCCCTCCTCCTCCTCATCCGCCTCCTCCCCCATCTCCTCCTCCGCCTCCCCCCCCTCCCTCCTCTTCCTGCCTCCTCCCGCGCTGCTCCCTGGGTGGCTGCGAACTGCGCATCATTCGCCACTTTTGTGGGTTCCTGGGGAGGTCCAGCGGGGTGGAGATGTACGCGCATCCAGACGAAGCCTCGCGGCTTTTTGGGTACCTGTGAACTGCGCAACCGTCGCCGCTTTTCGTGGGTTCCTGGGAGGCACGTCGGAACTCAGGGCAGCGCAGTTTATCTCAGACCTCGCGGTTCCCTTGGAGGCTGTGCCTTGCGCAACCGTCGTCACATTCGTGGGCTCCTGGGAGGCACGGTGGGGCGCAGGGCGCCCACACTGCGCGTGCCAGCGCTGTTGCATCACAGGGCGCAGGGCGCCGGAACGTCACGCAGTTCATTCAGGAGGAAAAGAACCACAGAAACAATTAATTTTCGATTCCCAAGAAAATATTGGAAAATATGGGAAGTGGGGGGGAGACAGAAACCGAGAAAATATGGGGAAATATGGGAAATCCTTTTATTTACGTGTATTTATTATCTTGCACAGGGTGTCTAGAGCTCCGACCACTTTATTTCGGCACCGCACCCCCCCCCATCATTATCATCATCATCATCATCATCATCATCATCATCATCATCATCATCATCATCATCATCATCATTATCACCATCATCCTCACCATCATCACCATCACAATCACCATCATCATCATCACCATCCTCACCATCATCACCCCCCCCCGCTCCGCCCCCTGCCCCGCGCCGTCTCAGCGCCCTCCCGCGGCTCCAGCGCCCGCCCAGTGCCCCCTCCGCCTCGACCACTTTATTTCGGCACCGCACCCCCCCTCCCCGCTCCGCCCCCTCCCCCGCGCCGTCTCAGCGCTCCCGCGGCTCCGGCGCCCGCCCAGTGCCCCCTCCGCCTCGACCATTTTATTTCGGCACCGCACCCCCCCTCCCCGCTCCGCCCCCTCCCCCGCGCCGTCTCAGCGCTCCCCCGCGGCTCCAGCGCCCGCCCAGTGCCCCCTCCGCCCCGACCACTTTATTTCGGCACCGCACCCCCCCTCCCCGCTCCGCCCCCTCCCCCGCGCCGTCTCAGCGCCCCCGCGCGGCTCCAGCGCCCGCCCAGCGCCCCCTCCGCCCCGACCATTTTATT